GGGGAGGTTGTGTGGAACTTTTGTTCCTCTGACATACCTGACAGCCTTGCACATAGGAAATGCAGTCATGCTTCATTCCTGGCCACATGTAGGAGCGTAGGAGGTTAGCATAAGTCTTCCTCCATCCGAAGTGTCCCTCAATATCATGATTTTCCCCAAGTATTATGCTACGAATTTCCTCTCTATTCGGAACACATAGTCGATCATGGACATTTGTCTTTTCAAACAATAGTCCCTACATTACCCAATAGTCCGGGACTTCATGAGGTGTTGTTTGCACCTTGCCAATCAATTGACTATAGACTGGATCACTTGCGTAGGCAGACTTGATATTTTCCTGCAGTTCGGTGCTTGCATCTAAGTATGTAACAATGGCACCGAAAAAGTCAGTTACTCAATGCATCAGCGACCACATTATACTTTCCCTTTACGGGCTTCGGTTCAAAGTCAAACTGATCAATCTCCCCAGACCACCTAGTCAATTTAGGTGTCATCTGAGCCTAGGTTTTTAGCCAGCGAAGTGTCTCATGATCCGAGTAGACTTTAAAGTGGCATCCTAGCAGATAATGTTGCCAGTGATTCAATGCTTCCCTCAGAGCGAACAACTCTCTCTCATAGGTAGAAGCGGCGACCTTTTCGCTAGGTAGTCTACAGGACATGAATTCTATAGGTCTGTATCTATTCCCATCGTCTTGCTGGAATACAACACCAATCCCGTATTGATCGGCGTCAGTGGTTACGATAAAGGGTAGAGATGGATCTGCAACTTTCAATATTGGGTAGTTAATCAAACATTTATTTAAACGTTTGAAGGACGCAGTACAATCCTGATCCCATTTCCAGATAGTTTCTTTCTTTACAATTTGCGCAATGAGGCAGCGATTACCATAAAGTTCCGAACGAACTTGCGGTAATAGTTGGCCTGACCAAGAAACGAGCGCAGTTCCGTCAACGTGCGCGGGTTAGGCCAATCCCTAATGGCCGCAATCTTAGTGTCTTCCGATTTAATCCCACCACCATCTACCATATGCCCCAAGTAAAGGACCTGACGCTTTGCCCACTCACACTTCTTTGGGTTAATTTTACATTTTGTCTCTCGCAATTTATTAAGCACAACTCGAAGGTGTTCCTCATGTTCACTCAGACTCTTACTAAAAATCAGTATATCATCTAGATAAATAATGACAAACTTGTCAAGCCAATCATGAAAAAGTTCATTCATACATCGCTGGAAGGTAGCAGGGGCATAAGTCAAACCAAAAGGCATTACCCCAAACTCGTAGTGGTTGTATCTAGTTCGGAGAGTCGTTTTGTGTTGATCCTTGGGTAATACCTCAATCTGACGGTAACCCGGCTTCAGATCAATCTTGGTGAAATAACTGCAACCCTGAACTCTATCTAGGAGATCATCTATTCGTGGTAACGGTTCAGCATTTTTTACAGTTATTGCATTAAGTCCCCTATAGTCTATGCCCATACGCAATTCGCCGCCCTTCTTTGGCACAAACAGAACTGGTGCACCGAATGGTGAGGAACTTGGTTTAATCCACCTCTTATCAAACAGCTCATCGAATTGTTTTTGCAGTTCATCAAGGTCTTTTGGAGACATCCTGTAGATAGGGTCCTTAGCTACCGGGTTCTAGCTCTATTCGGTGCTTGGTTTCTCTCTCAACCACTCCACTTGGGGCCTCTCCAACATCAGCGAACTCACCAAGCAATTTCTGCACATTGGGGGGAATGGGTTCGTTCTCTTTCTTACTTTCACTCACCGGGCGCACATATGCAAGAAACACTTGGTCGGCGAGGTCATTCTTGACCACATATCGGGCGAACGAGGGGGCACTCATTCCGCTAACGCGCCTCGATCGACACCAGAGAAAGAGGTAGGCTAGCCAAGCTATATATACGTTGGATAGGAAGAGGATTCTCTAATAAGCCCCACTTAATTGGAGACTTAGGATTTATGTAATACTTGTGAATTGAAATATGAGTAGAATGTATTTAAACGTTCAAACGGATTACTGGGGCAAAATTCCTTGGACTTCAGTCGAGAGTTTTGTCTTCAAATTCCATACCAGGATTTACAAGGCCTCGCTTTCAAAGAATTATGGTAAGATGCGTGCACTTCAGACAAGACTGGCACAAAGTTTACACGCCAGATTGTTAGTCGTTCGCAGCAAAGGGATAGGCTATTCTCTACGCCAGATGCATGGTAAAGTCGGATTTTCTTTTTTCCACCTGTAGGACGAGGCAAATAACACTCATGCTCACCCAGTTTCACATCTGCATCGGCGACCTCACCCCAATCAGTCCCAATCATGTCAAAAGGGAGACTCTCCTCCACTACGAGCATCAGGGAGTGCATAACACTTTCGGTCTTACCTCCTGCCTCCAACCGGAAGTATGCCCGGACCCCAGTTATCAACCACCATTTCTCTATTATCCGCTAGCTTACTTACAATGGGTTGGTCTAACTTCCGGATCTTCAGCCCTAGGCGCATCTTCTTCATCCGTGGGCGCATGTTTTGCAGCCCTTTCTTGCTAATATAACTGCGCGTTGACCCACTATCTATTAACGCGCCCACTCTTACTTTACTAACCTCTACATCTGCAATTAACAGCAGACCTTTCTTTTTCTTCATTTCAGCCCAAGCGCGGCGACGAGTGATCAGTCCATCACCTATGCTTGCGGGGGAACCACCTAGAGAAGTCCTAGCACAAGCAACTTCTGGGCAGCTAACTAGGTGGGGCCCAACTACTGTCTCAGCCTCTGCCATTGGGACCTCTGGATGGGAGGATAACAGTCTGCTTGCATCCAGAGTCCTTGTAGAGGCGACTGCAACCTCTACTGGTCGTTCCCTTTTTGGTACCTGTGCTCTGGACAAAAAGGAACTATGTGGTCGGGGTCACCACACTTAAAACATTGACCGGCCTTGCAACGCTCTTCCCATACTTTTTCATCTATACCCATGTCTAACCAAGGTTTGCCTTCAGTTACCCCTGGGTGTTCCGGGTATGGCCGCCTACCTCTACCTCTTCCACCTGTGGAGTAGGAAGTCCTAGGAACCTCTTCCATTGGACACTGGGCCCGTTCAAAAGAAAGGGAAAAAAAAGAAAAAAGAAAAAAAAAAGTTGTTGTTGATGTAACTAATGACTGCTGGCTCTCCTGTGGGTCACTAAGCACCTCAATAATGGTTCTGCCAGATCTTACCTTGGACTGGAATATGCTGTGGAGGTCAAGGCGGCAAATGGAATGCTGCTGGTTAAAAGGAACTTGCGGGATGTGGTTAATGACAGGTGGACCAGACACACTACAATAGCATGGCAAATTGCTCACCGCTGTCTGCCCACCAATTATTGGATCATCGATCACACACACCTAGAACAGCAGGGCCGGGCCTCACCCTGATGTAGGAGATGTCTACAATGCTTGCCTGCGAAAAAAAGGGTCGAAACAATTGAACACATTTTTCTCCAATGGCCCTCATCGGTCCTCACATGGCGCTGGTGGGACAGAAATATGGCATCACATCATCCCCGGGACAGTTTGTCCATGGGACTGGCGGCCCATCCTGGCAGGCCACTGCCTGGACTTCCAGAAGGACACTTCATCAATAATCCATTTTGTGTGGGAAGATGTGCAGTGCTTTGGGCCTTACAATGGCAAAGATGTATCTTGGCAATGGAAGGTGCACGGGTGGAGGGAGAGGAATTAACAGAACAGACCAAGCAACAGTTCAGGATGGAAATCTTGCACCAATGGCAGGCGGTGAAAAAGAAACTGGACCTGTTCCACACAGCCAAAGACATGAAAAACACAATCTCACACTTCTGCAGGAACTGGCTGGGAGGGAACCGGGAAGGCTAACTCATTTCAGTGGCTTGGGCAGGCGAACAGCAGGACACCTGACAACAAGAGGAGAAGAACAAGGAGCTTCAAAACCGGTTCATCAGAGATTACCAGCTCGTCTTCAAACTGGACTACGATAGATCCAAGTGTCCCGCTGAGACCCGCCACGGACTTCCCCGACCCCTTCCCACCACACAGCCTTTCACTGGTGGAATGGCCTTGACGGAAGACTGAGTTTGAAGACCGTGCGATCTTCCTGAGCTCCCGACGCTCCATCTTCACCCAAATCTGCAGGCAGGACCTGGCGGATAGGAGTCCAGTGCCCTCTGGACTACCCCAGACAGACCCGACCTGTTGCCTCTTTCTAATACTCGCAGTTAACCTTGCCACAGCTGAAGCAGGGTAGTGGCCCTAAGTTTATTTGGGACGCCAGACCCAATTTCCAGCCCGCGCAGCTCCCCAAAAATAGATTAGACTCATTAGAGCCATCCGGTGGGGTGCTACCTGGGGCTGCTCTTACCACCTCGGTTATCACCACCATCGTTGTTAAACCACCGCTACCACCGAGCCTCGTTTTGCCAAGGCTGACTGGAACTGCGCACCAATCAGAGGCCGAAGTGCCAGCGCAGCATTTTTGTTTTGTTTTGGCTCGCACCGCCAGCCTTTTTGGTCTGGTTGAGCCCAGCCTCCGACAGCCTCTAAAGAATGCAGTATAGGTTATATTGCCGACCTGGGACTACAACCTGAAAGGTAGCGGTGACTTCCAAAAAAAAAAAAAAAAAAAAAAAAAAAGAAAAGAAAAGAGAACTCCTCAGCATGGATGGACCGCGCATCACAGACACATACAATTGCTGCATAGGTCTCTCAATCAACAGTGGGCTCAAACGTTCGAACTTCACTGCAAATGCTGTTGACCATAGCGATGATGCATTACACATCCACTCTCCTCTCACCCTTTACCCCATCGACCTCTCAATCAACAGCAGGTTCATAAGTTCAAACTTCCAATCCTGTTGGACACAGTGACGATAAATAGAACATCCACTCTCCTCTTCCCCTTTCCCAACCCATCCCTCCCCTCTCCCCCTCTTCCCACATTCCCCCTCCCCTGTTTTGCCCCATACCAGAAATGCAGAAGAGTCTCACATACCATGTCAGCTGTAAGCAGATCCAAAACGTAGAGGAAGGTATCCTTATCGTCAAGATCAACTTGCGTCACCAGGATTTTCATCTGCCCGAAAATACCATCCAGAAAACGAGCACAACAAGAATAAATACATTGTGGCCTCCTCCTTTTCTGCAGTCTTGATAGGACGGGCGGAGAGAGAGAGAGAGAGAGAGAGAGAGAGAGAGAGAGAGAGAGAGAGAGAGAGAGAGAGAGAGAGAGAGAGAGAGAGAGAGAGAGATGTGCACAAGGTTTATTTCGAGTGACGAACTTGCATCATCAGGATTTTCATCTGCCGGAAAATACCATCCAGAAAACGTGCACAACGAGGATAAATACGTTGTGGTATTCTTCTCCTTTCCGTGGCCTTGTGTGGAGAGAGAGAGAGAGAGAGAGAGAGAGAGAG